CGCCGCTCCCGCCCGCCCCCGCCACGCACAGCGCGCCCTCTGTACTCGCGGCCGAGCCATTGCTCCTGATAATGCCTCGGCGAACGGGAAGGGCGGCGGCGACATTTACTGGGAAACGCGTCGACGGCCGCCGCCAACGCCGGGCAATGTCTAGGCGAGCAAGTGCGTGGCGGGGCGGGGCGGGGCGAGTGCTCTAGTTGGTACCCGCGGCGTGTTGTGCAGCGCCGTCATCTAAATGCCGATCATCTCTCTCCTTGGAGCGGTGCGATGCGTTGCGATGGTCCCGTGTGCGGTGGTGGAGGCTGGTGCTGGTGGGGGCGTGGCGTGGCGCGGCGGGGCGGGGCGGCACTGCCAGGGTAGGGTCGCGGGGGGCGAGTGCTCTGCCCGCTCTGCTCTGCTCCGGGGGGCGGCTGGCCCCCGCCCGGCCTAGCCCGCGCCCCGCCGCCGCTGCCCCACCCTGCTCTGGACTCTGGCGCCCGGCTTGCGCCCGCTATATAACGCGTGTGTGGGTGATTGGACCCTCAGTCTCAATCCCACCTCTGGTAGCGCTCTGTTGCCCTGACTGCTCCCACCATGCGCTCGTCGGTGAGCTCATAGCTACCCCCTGTGTGTTTTCTCTGTGAGTGCGCCGCGGTCCCTGTACAACATGTGTTCTGTGCTTCAGTGGGCGTGTTTGGTGCTTCTGGCGGGCTGTGCCGCCGCCCAGTCCAACACCTACCTGCCCCCGCGGAGGGGTGGCGGCGGCGGCTCCTTCGGGGGCGGCGGCGGCTCCTTCGGGGGCGGCGGTGGTGGCTCCTTTGGGGGCGGCGGCGGCGCCTACAGTGGCGGCGGCGGCTCCTTGGGAGGCGGTGGTGGCTCCTTCGGAGGCGGCGGAGGCGGCGGCGGCGGCCGAGGACAGCAGGCTCAAATAATTTCACTCATCAACGAGAACAACGGAGACGGCACCTACAGATACAGGTAAGCAAGTCATCGGGAATGTTTCTCACGGAACCAGGGTAGATGGCGCTTGTTACGAGTGGTGGTAAACTTCACTAAAAGATCTTAAAGTTTTCCAATTAATTTAAGGGGGATAATTAACTTCAACACTATTTGATTTGTTTTTTCCTGCCACTGATTCATTTTCATTTCTTTATATCAAATTTTCTTCTCTTACTTCAATCTCATTTACTTTCTAACGACGGCAGTGGCCGTTTTAAGCAACGATCCATCTTCCAAACAGCAGATTACCTCCCCGATCGAGTCGGGCCTCGGCCATCACGTACAGCCCCCCCGCTTCCCTTTCATAGTCAGGAGGCGGCCCGGCGGCGCACGGCCCGGCCCGCTCGGGAACAGAACGTTAGTTTTGTGGTTCCCCGCAAAACTGCTCCCGAACAGGCTTCTCGCTTCGGCTCGAAAACGAGCCGGGGGCGCGCGTGGCGCAATGTGCAGCAAACGCCCGACTTTATCGCAACTCAAACCGAGGCACGTGTATTGAGAGCGGTGGACAGGCCATGGAAAAAGGGGGGGGGGGTCATGATGAGGGGGAGGAGTAGGGAGAGTAGGAGAAGGTGGGAGGGTACTTAGGCCGGTACTTAAGCCCGCCAGCCCGCGTCCTGTGGGCGCGTGATAGAGAGTGAGTGACACAGTGCATAGCAATGTGCGATACGACGGGGCGCGCGGCGCGAGAGGAGGGTCAGTACCTCCGGAGGGGACCCGGACCCCCAGCGAAGACGGCCGATCCCGCCCACGCGGCAGTCCCACCCCTCGAGTTGCAGCAGTGACACACTCCCAACTAATCATATCGCATATTGGTACCAGCCAAGCGAAAACCTAAACCTTTCACGTTCGTACACCTGCCGCTGCTGCCGCTGCGCCCGCGGCCGGCGGCGCGCATTGCACCCATAACGCAGTGCTCACGTTCGGCACTCGCCGCAATTAGGCTCATACCTGGTCCGCACCAACTCGCCACCTGAAACTAACGCGAAGAAGAGCGTCCATGAGGAGCCGGGGGTGGTTGGTCGCAATGATGAGGAAGAGGAGGTGGATGATACATTGTGAAAAGGAGTCGTGCTCCCTCCCCTCCCGCGCGCTGCGGCGGCGCTCACGAAGCTGGACTCGACGCCGCGACGCTGGAGGGGGTGCGCCGTGCTATGATCCATCGCGCGAATACATGTAAACGTGAGACAGCCTGCAGCGGCTGGAGGGGAGTTAGATGAAGGCGGAATGTCGGGCAAGGGGCAGGCGGCAGGGGGGAGCCCAGCGGTAGGTGCAGAGCGGGGCGCTCTGCTGGTAGCTTTTATACGCGCTCTGACCTTTCCCGCAATAACGAGAGCGAAACGAAGCGCGATATGGCGACGCGCCCGTAATCAAGTTGCGGACCGCGGCTCGGCGGCGCATTGTCCCCCCGGCAGAGGCGCGCCCGCGCAGCGCCTTTGTGTGAAGTAAGACTGGGAACGCCCCAGGAGATGGAGAGGAGCTTTGCAAGTTGTAGCCCAGGTTGTTGCCTACCTTCCGGGGGCTGCCGTATATGACCCCCGTTCCCGTCGTGGACCTCTGTTGCAGCTACGAGACCGACAACGGCATCCAGGCGCAGGAGCAGGGCCAGCTGCAGGACGACGGCGGCGAGGGCGTGCTGCGCGCGCAGGGCTCCTTCTCGTTCACGGCGCCCGACGACAACCGGCGCTACTCCATCACCTACACGGCCGACGAGAACGGCTTCCAGCCGCAGGGCGACCACCTGCCCACGCCGCCGCCCATCCCGCCAGAGATCCAGCGCGCCATCGCGCAGAACGCGGCCGACGAGGCACGGGGCATCGTTGACGACGGCCAGTACAGGGCGAGCGGGGGCGGCGGCGCCGGCGGCAACGGCGGCGGCCGGGGCGGCTACTCCTCCGGGGGCGGCGGCGGCGGCGGCTACTCCTCTGGGGGCGGCGGCGGCGCCAGGGGCGGCTACTCCACTGGGGGTGGTGGTGGCGGCGGCTACTCCTCCGGGGGCGGCGGCAACGGCGGCTACCAATACTGAAGAGGAGGCGGCGGCGCCGCGCTCTCGGCAATGTGATGACGGGTTTGATGATGTTGATGATGGCCTGCATGGTTGGGTCACACCGCGTCGGCGTGGCCGCGCCCTCGATCCCGAGCCCCGATTGGTCGGCCGCTAGTCACGTGACGTGGTCACCACGACTCCCGGGTGCGCGGCTCTTGCAGAGCTGAGTGCGCGGAGGGGTGACCACGGGTTTTTTGTTTGTTTTGTTTTCTGTTTTAAGTATAAAAAGTGTCGCTAAACGGCGCTCGTTGGATCTCGTGACAACCGGAGGCGCATCATCATCACATCATCCATGAAGTTTTCGTTCATCCCAAGTGATAATTATTTCGACCGAACCCTTAAAAGACTGCAAAGATTGTACAATAAATCATATTGTTGAGAACTTTTGGTCTTTGTTATTGGTGAAAACTAGCACACATCATTACATACACGATTGGGATACATGTTCCTCTCATCAATAAAAGGAAAAACAAGATGACAAAAATCAACAAATTTATTTCTGGAAAGGACAAGTTGAAACAAGAACACAATGTGGGGGGAACTAATGTCCTAGGGCCAAGGACAGAAGCACCAATTAACTTACAAGAGATTTCTTTGGATTTGAACGAATACTATCATGTCTTGTTTGGCAGTGATTGAGAATACTTGTGTCATTTAGTCATTTTGCAGAAGCCCTCCTGCAGATATTAATACAGGGTGGGTGATCCGTTCTATCCTTTTCGTTGTTGTTATAACAAACCAGATGCAGGCAAGCAAGGCCGCCCACCTCTTGAATCGGGTACAGTATGGGGATCATCCAGAAACTACGTCCGTTTTCCTCAGATTTATTTGGCTGATAACGGGGGCTAGGCGCCTGCGAGATTTGGGGTAGGCCACCCCGCTTCACACGCATGCACTGCAGGCGAGATGTTGCCTACCTACCAGGCGCTATGAGAGCTTGCGTCGGCTGAACTTAGCAGTTGGCAGATGATTGTTAACAGCGGATGAAGGACGTATTTTCTGGATGATCCCGAACCCAAAATAAAGGGCGGGGTGGAACACCCACCATTTACGTCCTGGAGTACAACCGTCTCCCGTCGCGGGTGGGAACACATTCTCTCGATCCCGGTACCCTCAGCACGTCGCGTCCGGGTCGCTGATGAGGCTGAGGTTGGCCGCCAGGGGCATGACGACGCCCGACGGCCGGAACACGACGCTGTCGATCCACGAGGCGTACGGCTCGAGCGACGCGTACAGGCCGAACAGGCTGCACGACTTGAAGAAGCCGCAGTAGAACGAGTGCTCGGTGTACTCCCACCGGCTCTCGTACACGCCCAGCGCCATGCCTGCAACAACGGCACCGAGTGACACAGAGTGACGGAGAGTGACTCGGAGTGATTGCCCCGAAGGATGAGAGCACCCCGGCCAGCCCTCTCTCTCGCTCCCGCACAATGCAGCCGCCGTTGGAACACTCAGAAGGAGGCCATGCCGTACACGGCCCAGCAGTACCGGGGCATGGAGCCAGGGAGCCGCGGAGAGTCGTGCAGCGCCGCGGCCGCGGGAGCGTCATGTCCGCGGCTCCACTGGCTCCGCGGCGCCCGCCCTTCCAAACTCCTCATTAGCCCCGTGTCATCAGCAGACAGAACTGGCGGTTCAAATATGGAGCGACTCTCCCCCTGGGCGGCGACCTGCCCGTCCACCCTTCCGGGAGGTGCACGCCGCCGTTGACTTCTCTCTCTCTCTCTCTCTCTCCTGTCGTGGAGGGGCTTGACCCACCTATGACGTGGCCGTCGCAGACGACGGGAGCACCCGGGTCCCCGAGGCAGGGCGCCACGCCGGCCGTCGAGTCGGAGCAGAGCGTGGCGCGGGGCATGCGGGGCGCGCGCGACGGCGGGCACAGCTTGAACGGCAGGATGGGCACGCGCTCCGCCTTGAGCAGGCGGCCGGGCGCCCAGGCGTGCGGCCCGACCCCGCCCATGCCGAAGCCCACCAGCTTGCAGCTGCACACTGCGGGCACGAGGACGAGGGTCGTCGTGTTTAGTATACCTAGAGGTTACTGCTCAAAGGAACACACCCAGACATGGTACACTCGAACCAAGGTGAAATGCATTGCATGAAGGCAATTTTTACCTTGAAGGCAATTTTTACCTTTAAAGGCAATTTACTAGAAAATTGTCGTTAAAATACAATAAAAAATTGTCGCTATATTAACGAAATTTCCCTGTAAACAATCGAAATGCCTTAAACCAAGGATAAAAATTTCCTTGTATTTTTTAAAAATGAATTTTCCTTAGTATAAATATTTTCCGAGTGCAGAGTCGAAACAAAACGCCACCTACTTGTGCTGGGCGGAGACGCGCGCACCGCGGCGCGCACCCAGGCCGTGTCCAGCCAGAGGGCCTTGCTGACGTGCACCAGCGCCAGGTTGTTGTGGCGGGCGTCGTCGTACAGCGAGCGGCTGACGCGCGCGCGGAAGTGCGGGTGGATGTGCGCCACGTGCGACTCGCGGTGCTGGCAGCCCGGGCCGCAGCCCTCCTGCGCGCCCCGCGACACGTCCACCAGCCCCGCGTACACCTGCGGCCGGGAGATAAATACTTTTATCATGGCACTCCCATTGAGTGTATTCGTAGAAAAGTTACCCCACCACCAAGCCACCACACTAATTGATGCCATTCCACGCACCGGGGAAAAACTTCCATTTTGCACTTTATTTGCACCAAACAGCTTGTTTTCAACTCCATTCATGAGATGAAGTGTCGTGAAAAATGTACCCCACCTTGTAGCTTCAAAAATGACGTACTTTTTGGACGGCCCGTCTCGACCCGGCCTTCCCTCGACCACCAACCCGTCCTCGCCATCACACCCAATGATGTCGCGAAGTGAGAAGTGTTGCGGGCTCGGCGGCCACGTACAACGATCGGCTCGCTCTGCCTCCGACCACGCCCGACCCCACCCCCGCGAGAGCTCTAGCTATAGCGAGGCCGTCGCCGTGTCAGAGCCACTCACGTCCGACAGGTAGGGGTTGTCCTGGGAGCGGCTGCGCATGGTGAAGCAGTGCGCTGCGGTGAGGAGCCAGTGCTCCGTGAGGATGATGGCAGTGCAAGTCCCGGTGCGACGCACTGCAACACACACACACACAGGTGCATGAGCCCCGCCATCGAGGTGCGAGCAAGGGGCTCTTGAAATCGCAAGCGTTTCCAAAGAAGTGAAATGAAAATCTGTTCGGAACTTGATGACCGGTAAAGTCAAAGCCGACACGTGTCGCGGGGGGACTCACCGAACGCGGCCACGTACGGGTACTCCCTCTCCCTGACGGGCACGCCCCCCGCCACGGCCTGCACCGCCCCCGGAGCCGCCAGCAGCAGCGCCGCCCCCGCCAGCAGCGCGGCCCCCGCCACCGCCATGCCGTAGGGCTGCCGTGCCGCCAACTGAACAACAGTTGGCAGGGTCGCGCGCGATGCGCCCCAGCAGCTGGCGGAGCTGGCGAACACCCCAAACCGCCCCCTCCGCGGGGTAGGTGGGATGGCCCGGGGGGTGGGCTGGCATGGGGTAAGGTGGGGTGCCCTGGGGAGCCAAGCGTGCCGGTGCCTCGCGTCGCGCTTGACCTCGCTAGGGTAGGGCGCTCCTCTAGACAGTCCTCAAGACTGTCTCTACCAGAGGGAAAGACCCTCCCCCTTCCTACCCCTCCTCAATGCTTGGTTGCTTGTGGCGTTCCGGGATTTTCTAGTGACGTGTCGCTTTGCTTTTCAAATCAGCACCTTCCACTGCAAAACGAACGTAAAAGAAAAATTAAGCGTCATTTCGTCTTTTGAACATAAGAAAACTAGCACCTTAGCCTCAAGCCTTTCTTAGCACAGTCCCGTCAAGTATGTGAATTGAAATTATCCCGCCACTCCCGTGCGCCGTTTCCAGAGTTCCTCCCTAGAGCCTAGATGCCCCCTCCCCTTCTTCCCCTCCTCCTGTCGTGTTCTCTTCTATAGTGCTGTCGAGGGCCGAAGGATTAGGAGAGACTAGACGTTCGTTGTCAAAGGACCAGACTGAACTGAGTTTATTAACAGCTTTATCACAGAGGTGGACAATACACATGGATACAGAAGGCCGTGATTAGACGACTGTGGCGCTATCTGTTGTCATACACAACACCCCTCTATGTCATGTATTGCTCTCACTGCCTTCTAACATTGGTTAGGTACCTTTACGGGGAATGAACTATACCTCGCCTGTGCTCAGGAAACTGTATATATACCCTGAATTCCTTGAATAAAACGTTGTTAAGTTATACCCACAAGCTGGCGTACTTGTCTCTCCCAAGAAGCTCTACCACCCGGTTACCCACCCTAGAGTATACACGATATTGGCGACGAGGATCCACAAGAACTTTCGTGGAAAAATTCATCAAAATTGGAGCCGGGAGGACATCCAGCAGCAACCATGAAGTCACCATCAACCACGTGGAAAGGAAGGTTAGAAGACTGGCCATCACCTGCCCTCCTCCACAGTTTGAACTATGTAAGCAATTTCGCTTTCTTTACGAGTTTGGCCTACGCTATTTCTAAAATGCGCGACCACAGTTGTTCGGTTTACCCGCCAGCTGCCCTAGTGGATAATTGGCTCGCCAAGCTACGGCATTCACTCAGTTAATCCCAGAAACCTTATGTGACTTCGTAACATCCAGCCATGAGTAAGCCTGTACATTCGTACCACTAACGCTTGGAGAATTCTGTGACATTGTTCAGTCACTGTTTATCAG